ATGGGATTTATTAATCCACTAAGTCCAGGAGCCACGAAGGACGTATGTGAAATCAGTACTGCAGGTCTCTGCTGTCTGGGTTTTACCGATAATAACTTTGCCAGCAACCAAGGGGGTCGATAGTGCAGAGAAGGGTTCACAGAGAGCGGGCCTCAATTCAACTTCTAACCTTGAAAAGGACTGCTTACAAGGTTGGTCCTTGGCTAGTGTCTGGAAATTTAACATTTTGGAAAGGTTCCCACTACCCTGCTATGAGTGACTCACTCAAACTATACAAACAGTATGGTTTATGCTAAACACCTGCTTCCTTCTGGGAGTCAGCAATTTTGGTACATGCTAGGCACAGAATGCCTATGTGACTCGCTCCATATGAAAACTCTGAGTATTAGGCCTCTAATCAGTTTCTCTGGTGAACAACATTTCACATGTGTTGTCCCAACTTGTTGCTGGGGCAATGAAACGCATACTATGTGACTTCCACTGAAGAGGGGCACACTTAGAAGCTTACATCTGGTTTCCCTCAGACTTCACCCAATGCACTTTTCCCTGTGCTGATTTTGCTTTGTATTCTTTTACTGTAACAAATCACAGCTGTAAATACAACTATATGCTGAGTTCTGTGTCTTCCTAGAGAACCACTGAACCTGGGGGTGTGATCTTGGGGATCCCTGACGCAGCTGGGAGTAAGTGTGAAATGTTCAACAAACAGCACGAAGGCAAGTGTGGCTGGAGCCAATGTGAGTGAAGGAAGTGGCAGAGGATGAAGTCAGAGCCTTAGAAGCTTACATCTGGTTTCCCTCAGACTTCACCCAATGCACTTTTCCCTGTGCTGATTTTGCTTTATTCTGGATGTGACAGGAAGCCACTGGAGGCTTCTGAACAGGAAGGAGGATCAGTCTGGCTGCTGTTAGAGAACTGACCTCAGGGGTAAAGGGGAAAGCAGGGACACAAGACAGGAGGCTGCTACATACAGGACACTCCTCAATTACCCTTGGGTGGTTCAGGAACTGCTTCAGAAAGGAGAAACTTAAGTTTATCCTTAAGGTTGAGTAGAAATATGATAGACGGATTTGGGCAAGAGGGTGAGGAAGATTCCAAGCAGTGGAGAGAACTTGTACAAAGGTGCATGGTGTATTTGAAGAACAGTGACTGGTTTAGTATCTTTAAAAAAGTGTGCTAAGGGAGAGGTGCAAGGGATGAAGTCACAGGAGCCAGGTGGCAAGCCACACACAGGAGGCTTTGGGAATCAGGCCGAGGAGTACGCACTTCACATTACAGACAAATGGGGGGATAATGAAGGGATGTAAATAGGGGAGTCAAATTTGGGTTTTAGGAAGGTCAGTAAGGCAGAGACATGGATGAGAGGCTGACAAAGGAAGCAATTCTAGAAGTGATTGTCATATAATCCAATTCTAATGTAGTTGGGACTGTACACACACAAAGCCATGCATATGAAATTTATGTTACACAGAAGTACATAAACCTTTTCATGTATTATTAAAAACAAGTCCAAATGAAAAGGAAAAAACAAAGCAATTACTGAAAAACTAAACGAAAGCGTGAATTTAAATGTTTAAAAGTTGTTGGTATAAACTCACAGAGAATTATTCAAGTGATTTTAAAACACTGTATTACAAGTCTCTAGTAAAATATATACTAGGAACAACAAAACCATAAAGAAATCTTAAATTGCATCCTATGGTTCTGTTAAGGGCGCACTAAAATTACACACACACACATATATGTATGTATGTTATATGCAATATATCAGGATAAAGCGATATAACGTTAACGTTGTGATGTATCAAGATTAGGTACCAATATTTTCAACATCAGGGAAAGGAGGCCCAAACATAAAAGGAAGAAGCAAAAAACCCTGATGGGTGGAAATGACCATCAGCAGACCTACAATTCATTCCTTCCTTTCAGGGCCCCAGAAAAGGAGAGACATCATCAAATCATCTTAGAAACATGCCATCAAGAGACCTTCTGGTGAACACACTGAAGGTATTTACTACTAGGACAGCCCTTATTTATGGACTGCATTAGTCGATGGACTTGGTCTGTCCAGACTGCTCACCTGGGACGTACATATTTATGAGGCATGCCTTCCTAGAAAATATCACATAAACTGTATAGTTATCAGAGAATAAACTGGAGCTGTTTCATACCAGAAATAGCTCCCTTTTGTGGAAGTGACACTCCATATGCATCACTTAGAGGCCTTGAATGTTATAATCTGGGCCAGAATGCATCCTAGTGGAGGCAAGAGAAGACTTAGGAGCAGCAGCTCTGGAAGGCACAGACTTCCCCACACTCTGCCTGAGTCTTCTGAGAATCATATCTTTGAAAATATTAGTCAAGCTTAGTACTGGGTAAGATCTCTAACTCTTCTGAGTCTAATTTGTCAATCTGATCCTCTGTGTTATCTTACCTGTACCAGTTAATTTGAACAGAAATAGTCAGTATGAATGATACATTTCCTAACCCTAGCCCCCAATATGCCTATTAGTAATGTAGACTCAGTTTGATATGTACCCCCAGTACCTAGAAAATGTTCAGGATAAACTGTTAAGTGCAAAATGCAGGCTATAAAATAGTATATACATTTTAGCCCAATTTAGTCTTTTTAAAACCATACATCTAGAAAAAAGACTGAAAGAGTATTCTCCAAGATGTTATTAACTGTTTTTCTTGTTGATGGGATTAAGGTACTTTCAATTCTTTAAAAATGATTTAATATATATGAATGTGGAGTATTTGTAATAAAAAATTTGTATTTTTAAAAGGTAGTATCTGCATTAATTCCCAAGAGTGACTAATAATAGAATAATAAGTGGGTATAGTGGTGATCTTTGAAATAATAAATTAAATGGCAGAGGGGTGGTGGGACAGGGTAGAGTGGGCACATTAATCATAACTCTTAAAAGGATAGTATTTAGCACACTCTATTGTGAGAAAGATTAAGTTTAAATTTAAAAATAGAGGGTATCAATAAGGTAAAAGTTAGAAGAGGATTAAAGTTTACATAAGCTTCAATTAGAGAGGGATAAGCACCTAAATCAAATTACCTAGGATGATTGGAAAAGTTGTAGTAAAAACCTTAACACAATCCTGAAAATAACTGAAGCAGCATGTTACACAACCCTTCCTGAGTTTATATTCTGTATACCACTGACAGATTATTATCTAATGGAATCCAAAAAGAAATATTAGAATATTAATAGAATACAAAAGCAATTCTGACTTTCAAATTCAGCTTATGTAACTTGGGTCAAATCTGTTAAGTAACTTTGATAAAACACAATCTAGAAAACCCTGTAAAACTACATTCTGTATGTTATATGTGGCTAATAATCAGAAAAACCAGACTTCTTAGTACCTTTCTACAATAGATTTAAAATATCAGTTGTCCACTTCCTAAATCAGGCAAAAGCAAAGAAAATGTCCAGACTACCTGGTTTCTGTACTTTTGTTGGTTCTTCATAGTCCTTGTTTTCTGCATTTGGAGATTCTAGAAAGCTGATTTCTTCAGTGACACTTTCCCCTTCTTGGCTCCTGAAGCTGTCTTCTTCTTGAATAGGTGATTCTAATTCTGATTCTTCTGAATCAAGGAATATCTGACCAGCCACTACTCTGCCTGTTGTGCCATGGTCCTTTACAGACTCATCCGATGGCAAAGAAGTCTGAGAATACAAAGTATTTTTAATTTTCAATAGTAGCAAGGCTCCCTCCAACCAAATCTGACCATTACTTTTACTAATCCAGATAGACCTTCAGTTCCATGACTGAGACCTACTGTAGAATTTGGTATGTGCTTGTCAATGCCTTCATCACCTTTCTAACCCTGACTCTTCAAATTTCAACATAAATGTTACTTTCCCCAAGAAGCCTTCCTTAATTTCCAAAGTTCGGTTTAAGGTTTTCCCCTACACCCTCTCCCAACATATCTTATACTTCCCCTTATGATAGACCTACACTGTAACTTCCTGTTTCTTATCTATATTCCCTCTAATCTAGGGATCAGCGATCATAACTGATTGGCCTCCTTGGATACATAACGATCAATCTTATTCATTCAAGCAGCCAGTTTAAGCGCATTGAAGATAAACTGTTAAGTGCAAAATGCAGGCTATAAAATAGTATATACATTTTAGCCCAATTTAGTCTTTTTAAAACCATACATCTAGAAAAAAGACTGAAAGAGTATTCTCCAAGATGTTATTAACTGTTTTTCTTGTTGATGGGATTAAGGTACTTTCAATTCTTTAAAAATGATTTAATATATATGAATGTGGAGTATTTGTAATAAAAAATTTGTATTTTTAAAAGGTAGTATCTGCATTAATTCCCAAGAGTGACTAATAATAGAATAATAAGTGGGTATAGTGGTGATCTTTGAAATAATAAATTAAATGGCAGAGGGGTGGTGGGACAGGGTAGAGTGGGCACATTAATCATAACTCTTAAAAGGATAGTATTTAGCACACTCTATTGTGAGAAAGATTAAGTTTAAATTTAAAAATAGAGGGTATCAATAAGGTAAAAGTTAGAAGAGGATTAAAGTTTACATAAGCTTCAATTAGAGAGGGATAAGCACCTAAATCAAATTACCTAGGATGATTGGAAAAGTTGTAGTAAAAACCTTAACACAATCCTGAAAATAACTGAAGCAGCATGTTACACAACCCTTCCTGAGTTTATATTCTGTATACCACTGACAGATTATTATCTAATGGAATCCAAAAAGAAATATTAGAATATTAATAGAATACAAAAGCAATTCTGACTTTCAAATTCAGCTTATGTAACTTGGGTCAAATCTGTTAAGTAACTTTGATAAAACACAATCTAGAAAACCCTGTAAAACTACATTCTGTATGTTATATGTGGCTAATAATCAGAAAAACCAGACTTCTTAGTACCTTTCTACAATAGATTTAAAATATCAGTTGTCCACTTCCTAAATCAGGCAAAAGCAAAGAAAATGTCCAGACTACCTGGTTTCTGTACTTTTGTTGGTTCTTCATAGTCCTTGTTTTCTGCATTTGGAGATTCTAGAAAGCTGATTTCTTCAGTGACACTTTCCCCTTCTTGGCTCCTGAAGCTGTCTTCTTCTTGAATAGGTGATTCTAATTCTGATTCTTCTGAATCAAGGAATATCTGACCAGCCACTACTCTGCCTGTTGTGCCATGGTCCTTTACAGACTCATCCGATGGCAAAGAAGTCTGAGAATACAAAGTATTTTTAATTTTCAATAGTAGCAAGGCTCCCTCCAACCAAATCTGACCATTACTTTTACTAATCCAGATAGACCTTCAGTTCCATGACTGAGACCTACTGTAGAATTTGGTATGTGCTTGTCAATGCCTTCATCACCTTTCTAACCCTGACTCTTCAAATTTCAACATAAATGTTACTTTCCCCAAGAAGCCTTCCTTAATTTCCAAAGTTCGGTTTAAGGTTTTCCCCTACACCCTCTCCCAACATATCTTATACTTCCCCTTATGATAGACCTACACTGTAACTTCCTGTTTCTTATCTATATTCCCTCTAATCTAGGGATCAGCGATCATAACTGATTGGCCTCCTTGGATACATAACGATCAATCTTATTCATTCAAGCAGCCAGTTTAAGCGCATTGACTCAACTGATTTTTTTCTATTTTTAAAATTTATTCTGTGACCCCAAAACTGTGCCTTCATAACTAATGTGAATTTTCTGCCAACAGTAAAAGTAATTTTTAAGCTACGGTTTAATTGCCTATGGCCTTCCTTGGTCTTTGAGGATATTTTTTTTAACAATTGGGTAATTCTATTATGGAATTAAACTGTTAACAGTGAAAATTTAGAGTTATCAGGTTGAACCTCTTCTGACTCCACCTTTTGCATGAATGAATTTCCCCTGTTTTGCAGCCCCATAAGGTGGGCTTGAACCTTCTTCGAACAATACAACTTCTTTTTAATCTTGCCTTTTGGAGTAACAAATTATAAGACATTTGGATCACTGTTGATTCCCTTCTTCTTCACTTCCCCTTCTTCCATTTCTATTCCTATCCCTTGGGCCTTGCTCAGTGTTGTTTATTCTGATCATCATCCTTGTTGCCCTTTGGGCCATAGCACCCAGAAGTGAACAGGCTCTGGTGGAAATGAACTCAACAGATTTTTAAAAATCAATGTAAGTGTAAACAAAAGGCAGGGGTGTTAAGACTTCAAAATTAAAAACTACAAAGTAAAATAACAGTAATACAATCAATCTCTCAGGCAGTAGAAATGCTGAATATTGGGTTTAATTTCAACTTGAATGTGTTGTGTATGTGTACCCAAGAGCTTTAAGGTTGTAACATTTTTACTTAATGGAAATATTTACTATTCTCTCTCTTGCAGGTTATCCTCCCCCATCACACACAGAAGAACTAGAAACTAATATTGATACCAGCTATTTTTTTTTACATCCAATTCTGTTATTCAGAAGACACAGATTTTATACCCTAACATACATAATTTATGCTTTTAAATTGGGCACCAAATACTAGTCAATGCAAATTTTAGTACATACCTTGGAATCTAAGGATTCATCCTGACCTCCTTCCTCATCTGTAAGACATTTTAAGACATTTTAAGTCATCTTTTCTTGTTGGGAAATTACATATATCAAAAGAAAGTATTGATAAGTACAACAAATAATGAGACATAGGATAAATAAATCCACAATTATCTAAAAATTGGTTCAGCTACTGTTCAGAAAAGAGTAAATGAAAGGGAAAAAAGGGGTTGGATGGGTAGCTTTTCCTCTTCTCCAGCAAGACATTAGCTTCCCGTTACACAGAAGGATGAGCAATCACCGCCGCTGCCACCACCACCACCACCAAAAAAACATTTCTTCGATTATCATCTCATTCTTCTGTATGGATTTAGTCTACTATTGAGAATGAGTTACTACATTTATAAAGATAAATCTGATTTTGTGCTTCAGGATTCCACCTATTCTTTTCCTCTGATCAGAATCTGGAGTTGAACTAGTTTATTTTACTGCTGATAAGCATTTTATTGCTTGCTAGGACTACTAAAGATGGACACTAAGAATTATTATTTTACAGCAGTTGGAAGATTAAGATACTGTGTTCTACTTTACTGAAGAGATAATCAGATATAGGTAAAAAGTAGCACCATGCTATCATATATTCACTCACATGGGATTTATTAAGAAATCAGTATCTTATCTTAGATAAACAATGAACCCAGCTACTACTTACACCTTTCTTCCAATTCATATCAGCTGCTTTAGCTTTGTCTGATTACATTAATTTTCATTCTATTATGCATTCTGGCTGCTTGTTATTCTTTTTCCTACTTTTCTATGAACAAATTCAACAACCCAGTGACCATATGCGTATGTTTGATCTTTGTATTCCTGGTCAGTTAAAAAAACAACTGTCAGATGAACTCTTAAGTTTTTTTCTTACTCTTTAACTGATTTTAGCTGATTTTATCTAGGAGTGAGCTTCACTATTTATTGCCTGTTCTATAAGATATATGAAAAATTAGTAGACAAAATGCTAAAAACATGTAATATTTCACTAGAAAATTTGTTATGGTTGCTATTAATCTTTTGTTCACATTATATCTTTAATATTATTTGTAACTTGTGCCTCTTCAAAGTATAACAAAAACATTTTATCATTTGTATAATCAAAGTACTGAGCTAACTTTAAGTGTAACTCATGTAGAAAACACATAACTTTATTTCACAGTGCTTGCTCCTTTTGAATATTTGAAAAAAACAGTGTACTAGTGAAGCCTGCTGTATATGAAAGTGTATCAATTCAAAGAAACCTTATGTTATGGCTACTTTAGCATTCACTACTTTGTTTCTGGAGGGTGGGGAAGAGACAAGTATAGCATTTATTAGTTCCATAACAGCCATAACATTAAGGTAGTAATGTCAATTAATTAACAATCATCCTTCATGCCAGCTTCTTCACAAGTAATATCCAAAGCCCAAGTTCTAACATACAATCCACATTCCACTCTCAGCAAATCTTTGGATAAATGAAAAAAATTCATCTGTATTATATGTCAAAATTGTATGTGTAGATGTATGGGATTAATCACAAACATTAGCTAATGTATCAAAAGCAGACATTAAATGTGAAAATTTTTACAGTATATCCCAAAAAACTGAAACTTCAGATTGGTTGCAACTCTTAAATCACTAATCACTAAATCCCTTCTCACAACAGGTCATATATGTAGTTAATAAGTAATATAGATGCTTATAAATACATTTCAAGACATACCTTGGAGACATGACAAACTGTTGGGTATCAGAATAGCAAAACGTGTTTTTGAACTCCCAAGAGGCATGAGAACTTGTGACATCAGGGTTATTTCATGTGAATTGCATCATGCTTCTCTCTCCCTTCCCTTCACAAACTAGGAATATATACTGAGGTTACTATGAAATAAGAGAATTCTTTCTCATTTACTAAACTGGGAAAGCCTACTCCAGATGGTAGTCTTAAAGCATAAGCTATTTTCTCTTTCAAACTGATACAGCTATTCACATAACAACAGTTTTAAGGGAATTACTTTTAACCTAGAAACTTCTGATATGTAGTAGTCAGGTAAAGAATAAAGACAGTGATGCTACACATAAATTAGAAGAAAATAGTAATGTTTCCATCAGAACACATGAAGCACAAGAAAAATGCAAAAGGATTCAGTGTGGAGTTATGAATTTCTCCTGCAATGGGATCACATCCAAAATACAATGTTTTATATTACTTTAGTAACCATACACTTTCCTTTGAAATTATCATTTTATTATTATCAATTATCACTTTGTTATATCAGCTAATAAACTGCAAAGTACCAGGGGTATTCTTTCAGTGAAAAATGATCATTATAAATTCATTTCCCTACTTGTCATGTAAATTAAGCAGACTAATAACACCTTAAAAGCACAGCAAGTCTTAAGAGTTTAATGAAAAGAGACCAGACATCCTGTCTTCTGCTTTGCTATTAAATCTGTATAGATCCTAAGATACTTCTGATTCTTAATTACTCCAAATCCAAGGCCTGGAGAATGTCACCCATGTGGTTCAGTATGGCAACCTTGCTCAGCCTCCTTTTCCTCAATGTATCAGAAGGGAATAATACCATCTGCCCTGTTGACTCACAATAATGTTTTAAGGAACAAAACAACAGTGAAATTAAACATCCTCTGCAATCTAAAAGTCTACTCTTTGAATCTATGTTATTAATATAACTATTACCTGAAGTACCTAGCAATGGACCACACTTAAAGACTCTGTAACACTGTTCGGCATCAAGAAAAAAAGAGAACCATTTGTCTCTTGCTGCCTAAACTACGAAAACATGTATTTCTAAGTTAGAAAAATCATAGCATTTTTCATTATTATCTTGAGAAAACAAAGGAGAAATGTATTTTTAATCTCTTCCTTATAAATTTATTTATTCATAGGAAAAACATGCCTAATAACGAGTATATTTTTACATGCCTCTGATATAAGAGATTAGCTATTAACAGTGATAGGATGAAGATTCCCTTTGTTAGCTCATATTCTACCTGGTAATAAATGCACCTTTGCCCTGGATAATCACTAATATTCACACCTTAAGTCAACATGCAATTATGATCAAAACCTTAATTCTAAATAGAAGCAAATCTTTAAATCCAAACTAAAAATGAGGCTGACATCTAAGTAAGCAATTTAAGGAATAAAAAAGTCAGCTGAAAATCCATGCACTCAATTTTAAAGCTTTATCTCACTTAAGTGTTTTATGATATTCACTCTTCATATGAGAACAGTGTTGCTTTTACTTCCTGTCAGCATGCACATCTACATTGTTTCAGTTCTGGCTAAGATTTTTGCCTCTACCAGAGAAGTGTTTTCATACAGTTTAACTATGTGAAAATCAGAGCAGATCTTTCTTGAACCTAATCCTCAGCTTACATCAACACAGCCCAAAGACTTAACACTTTGGTATTAACAGTCTTAGAACCTCCTGATAATCCAACTGTTGATTAAATGACTTCTTCAAGTATCATTTCCACTGACATGAAGTTCTAAGGATATGAAATCTAGTCAAAGGAAGATGGAATGTTTGTATGCTTTAATTTTCTTTACATTTTGCAAACTGAATTCAGAGGGATATATGCTATGTTCTTTAACTAGCAGTTCTTAGACTTTACATTTTCAACAAACCCCTAAGAGGAATTCTGATGCAGGTGGCCCATGGTCCATCAGGTACTCTACCAATTATACTCAATAGTTTCACTTCACTCCTCCTTTGATCAAGTACTGCTAGCAGTGCTTCAAGAGTTTTTAGTTTTAGATTTGTTCATGAATGCAAACCATCACTGAAGGTGTGGGAGGAGGGGCAAACCTCAAAGCATATTGGTAGTAAAGTAACTAGCATGTGTTTATTGCCTTTGAAATGGTATCTCAAATCACGTTATGGATAGAATTTAAGGTTTAGACCTCTTATTTTAGAAACAGAATGACGTTATGGCATTAACTTACAACTAGGACAGATAATTTGGGGATTCAAATAACCATCTGGGAAATTTTCTGTTGGAAAAAAAAGGAATTGACATTTATACTCTGCCTTGTTCCAAAAAAACTTAAAGCCACAGAACAGCTGTCTTGTTAACTGAAACTGATTAAAATTCAAAAGCTTTATTGTACTAATTGTTTCTTTACCAACACTTAGAAACACTAAGTGCTTCTTATCAACACTCTCAAAACAGAAGTTTTCAGATGTAGGCAGATTAAACTATTAAAACAAGAAAAAAATAATAATTTCAGAACAAAAATAAGAGCTAATCAATTCAAAAGCACATGAATTTCTACATCCATACAGAAAGTTAAAGCCAGTTGCTACCATCTACAGGGATCAAGATTTTCTGAAAAATCTTAAAAGCACTGTCCACAAAACACGGGGCAACTCAGAAACAGTGTGACAGAGGTAAACACCACTTTCTCAGGAATATGTCTTTAAAAGGGGCAGGGAGTGGACACAATCACATCAAAAGTCTTCATTTGTAAATACACAGAGAGACTAGGGACCACCTCAGTACTAAGCAAACCCACTAAACCACTATCAATATTCTGGTTTTGACGGACTTAGCTCTGCTACGGGACGGCCCCAGGGGTGTGAATTACTTAATTTACAAATCCCAAGCACATAATCCACAGGAGAGTCGAGGAAGCTCCAGTAGGGCTCAGGTGTCCCTCTGAGTCTAAGTCAGCTGCTGGGATTCATTCCGACGGAGGCAACTCCTCATTCGTGGGGAGTCGTGTAAAGTTTGTTAAGTGAAGATAGGTGTGGGCAGGGTGACCGCCCCTTCTTTTCCTCCCTCGAGCTTCCCACACACCCACTCTAGCCCAGGCCACCCGAAACCCAGGGAATGACAGCGAGCGCCAGGTAGTGCGGGGTGTGACAGAGCGCGGAGTCCCCAGCCGGGGCTCCCACGGCCCTGCCCGGGCTGGAGGCCGGGGGGCGGTGGCTCCGGGCCTCCAGTCCGAGGGGGCGGATACTGACCCGACGACGCCGAGGCCGAGCCCAGCAGCACCACACAGAGTAGCAGCGTCAGCCCGACCCAGACCCGCATCCTGCTCTCGGGGCGGCTGCCACCCTCTGGAGCTGTCGCTTTCGCCTCCACCACCGCCACCACCGACTCGGCCGCCGCCGCCGCCTCGCGGGTGCTCTTCCTGCTCTTGTTGCCTTTCCCCGCCCCTTCCCAAGCCTCCCTGCCCTAGCATGCAGCCAATCCCCTCCCGCCGCTCCGGCTTCCCGCCCAATCGCTGCTGTCTTCCCGCCCATCTTCTTACTCCGCCCCCCGGGTCACGTACTGGCCAATCTTATACCAGGCTCCCACACGGGCTTTCCTGGTTGGACCACGGCCTCACCGACATGGCCCCTGCTAATTGGTAGATTCTGGGCTCAACCACCACGGAATCAGAGCGTGGGTCCAGGGCCGGTGGGCGGGGCGGGGGGGGGAAGATAGCCACCCAGGACTATAAATCCCACAATGCCCTTCATGGGACTTTCTCGGTATGTGCTCTTGGGGAACGTAGTCCGTCGTGGGGCAGTATTTAAAAGTGCAGGTGGCTGTTGAAGTTGAGAAAGCTTAGCTAACACCTGGGCCCGACACTGACTCAAGGTCATGAACCCATAGGCTTTTTTAAAAAGCCAGAGTAAATATCAAGTAACATATTATAAGGTAAGAGTTTGTGGTATGTTAAGTCCTCTTCCTCTTTTATTTCTAAAATTTGAGTTGAACATAGTGATATCAGCATGACGAAAAAGACAACAGCTAGACTGAATTCGAGTTTTTTTTCTTAATTTAAATAAAACGGTACCATATATACGGAAACAAGGGAGGAACCCACCAACCGTCCTCCTTTCTGCAACAAAAGGAAATAAACTCTACCCAGTGCAGATCAATTCAATTCATTTTTACAAGGACCACCACATAATCCTTTGGAAGACATGCCAACAGCCTTTGCAAAACCCTTCCAAACGCTTCTCCTCATCCTTAGCTTTTTGTAAATTGTATTATTCTCTTCATCACTGACTAGGTTCAGGAGGCTAGATTATGTATTTGGAAGTAAAGGTGACAGTGATTGTGTTGCAGATACAGAAATAGTCTTGCTTTATTAAGTACCAAGTCCAGGCATGTTCCAAATAGTCTTGCTTATTAAGTACCAAGACCAAGCATTTTCCCAATGGATACGAGAGCAGTGACTCAGAGGTTCCTGTCCCTTCATCAAACTGTGTCATTCTGGCTTTCCAGCATCCACCCACAGTCAGCTCTTAGACCTGGAACCTAAGCAATTTGAGTTCAGGGTTTTGGAAAAGCCCACACTGGCCACGAATCTTGTTATCCCTGAGCATCTGTCTTCTGTCTTCTTTGATAGAGGGTACTCTACTCTTTTCCCGGTAGAGGATAAAACACTAACTGCTTTTCCACATTCACAGTGGAGGCAGGTAAAGGAAAAATATTGTCCCATGAAAGTTTTCTTTTCTACTATTCCCTCCTCGGCACTCCCTCTATTTCTAATGATGTTTCCTCAGAGTTCTTCTGATTTTATATCATGGAGTAAAATCGGGCATATTTTCCTCCCTTTACCATCTTTTTGATTATCAAGTCCTAACAATTTGAACTATGTACTTACTCTTCTAGGTGAGTGACCATTTTTCTCTTTCTCACTGACGACTTCCCTACTGGCCCTCGTTTTCTCTTACCTGCCTGACACACCTGAGTTCTAACCATATTCACCACCATTGTTCTCTCGTCATGCGAAACTAAACCACATACCATGACCAGATTAATTTTCCTTAAACACTGCTTTCATAGTCCTATTCAGACTTTTTCAATGGCTGCCTTTGTCACAGAATCAAAGAATATTAGAACTTCTATTGACAAAATAGGAATTTGTGTTGATAGTTATACTTTTTAGGGGAAGTACTAGGGAATAAACTTCTGCATGCCACAGTAGAAGCAGTAATTATCTGATTGATAAGGTTGGGGAACATTCATTGCTTGTTAAGACCCAGCTTCTTTTTTCATATTTTTCTGTGCTGAGTGTTTCTTATTTTTAAGGCCTTCTGCTAAGTGTTGCATGGACAAATCTCCCACTTTTACTGCTTTCCAGATTCCCACATTAACACACTTTTACCTTCTCATAGGCTCCCCTACCCTCTCCCCACTGCCCTTGCTGCTTCTTGGCCACAACCCTGGCATCCTTCCCCAATTTCACTTGCATTTCATCTTGGCTGAATCTTCTCTGACCAGGCCAGTCCTCATTAATCTTCATTTCTCTTGAGTGTACAGAACATTCACAAAGTTGTTTTTTAAATGGGTTGTAAGCTTGCTGACACCAGAGACAATGATGTAATTCTATGTTTAGGTATATGTTGACCGATTGATACACCTTACCTATAAAGTATTTTAATAATAAGATTTGCAAAGTACGTGCTATCTACTATAGGTTTAAACTTAAATACCTGATAGGGAAATATTAATGAGCATTTGCACCCTTATTATACACAAAATTTACTTCACTCCTCTGCACCTCCATCTGTAAAATGGGTATATTAACAATACCCTCTTTACCAGGTTGTTGTGAAGTTCAAAAGAGATATGCAGGGAAAAAGTGCTTTCTTCAATATAGAATGGTCTAAAATATTATTTTCTATTGTTTGCTTGGTTGAAGCAAAGGAGAAAAACTAACTGAAAAATTGAGTGTTTATTAAGCCATTATCTTTAGCCAATTATGAGTAATTGACGTGTTCTGAGAATGCTTAGAGGACCTTGACTTCCTGGGGGCAATTCCAAATCGCTAAAGCATTTGAATATGGCATGGGAAAGCCACATTTATTTTATCAGCCTGCTACATTGCATGATGATTAATTACTGATAAGGTTGTGAATTCTCCATAGCCTTTTACAGTCTAAGCATACACTCCTCAAGGATTCCTGCCAATGTTCTCAGTTAAAGTTATGTGCTCACTCGACTTGTACAAAATGTTAATATCATTTATTAATTCATACACCTCTCTAATATTTGCTCAGCTGTATGAACTCTGTTCAGCTGGTCCGTATCAGTGTTCTGGGTCATTGCCATAGATTTCCTAGTTGCAGAAAATCTGTTTGCTCTGCATTACAACACAGCAGAGGACCCAATGGAGGTAGATAATCACCTGTGTTTTTATGCAGATGACCCTGAGTGATCTGATTCCTTGAAATGAATCAAGCAGTCAGCAAATACTCAGAACCTCCTGAAAGTGTTGAGGATATTAATCCAGCTCCTTCTTCACTTAAGGATGGTAAGACAACCCTCGGAGCCTTTTCTAGGGAATGGAGTGATTATCACTAACTCTAGTGGAGTATTTCTTCTCCTGTGCTATTCTTAGGGATCTATTTGGGTTGGCAGTGTGTGCAGGCTGCCAGCACTTGTACCAACATATCTGCCAGGGCAGGATTAGGGAGAAGAAAGGAGCAAAATATTTTCCTCTCAGGACTTGGAGAAGAATGTACTTTCTTTGATGTAGACGAGGTAAATTAAAGTCATTATTTTTGTTTCTTTTTCATGGGTAAATAAACATATAAATCCTTGCATCATATCACAAAATAGAACCAGGCATCTCTCCATATACACTTTGAGCTCCTTGAGTAACTGTGGCTTTATACCTCCTTATATCACCTGTAATTGCAGGATTGTGTATGGCAGGTACATAATTAATAATCAAATAAGCTTTTAATGTTCATGTCTCTTTCTGTGATTATAATTATGACATAAAGGCCAGAATGCAGGTCTTGATAGAGGAGCAGTGTATTTGATATTCCTAAGTTTTGAAGCTGATAGAGTGAATGGGTGGTGTGTGTGTTTTCGGCTCTGTTTACCAAGTTTCATCCTGGGGTGACATTTACTTTGGAGGTGTGCATTCTTTTTGAGCAGAGTTGCCTCATACCAGATGAAGGAAAAGCCAGGATACCTTTATATCCTAAACAAACGGACAGGTGTCTTTTGGTCCCACTTCTTCATAGATTTATTAACTTCCAGTGTTGGAGACTGGATGAAAACTAAATTTCAATAAGAACCTGATTAAACGAACCTTTTAAGATGGCGATAAACAGCTTGGAGCTTCCCATTCAGAATACTTAACTCCTGAGAGGATGGCAATTTAATTAGTGAATGTTGGATTAGTAACATTATATTCATGAGAGAATCCTTCCTTTCTTCCTTCAGTAATGGCACAAATATTTCGGCGCACTGCCCATACCCACCAGCCAAAGGCCAGGAACACATCACTAGATGAACACATCAGGTAGGTTGAAAACTTCTGCAGTGAGGAAGAACACATACCGTGGGGTGTCTCAGTAAGGGGGCTTTAGAAAGAACCTATGGCAGGATTTGGGCTTCAATTGGGTGATTCTTGGGAGGATCCAGGGAAGCACAGTTTGCTCTAGATTGGAGCTGTTAAAATTACGCCAGATTTCTATCCTAAGGGAGAGGAGACTAGAATGAGGATAAAGCTGTCCCTTTGGTAACTGCTAGTCCATTCTTGGAGTCTGTGAGTCTGCTGCTGTTTTGTTCCTTCAGTTTTGCTTTGTTGTTATATTCCACAGATGAGTGAAATCATTTGATACCTGTCTTTCTCCACCTGGCTTATTTCACTGAGCATAATATCCTCTAGCTCCATCCATGTTGTTGCGAATGGTAGGATTTGTTTTCTTCTTATGGCTGAATAATAATCCATTGTGTATATGTACCACATCTTCTTTATCCATTCATCTACTGATGGACATTTATGTTGCTTCCATTTCTTGGCTATTGTAAATAGTGCTGTGATAAACATAGGGGGGCATATGTCATTTTGAATATGAGAACTTGTATTCTTTGAGTAAATTCCAAGTAGTGGGATTCCCGGGTCAAATGGTATTTCTATTTTTAGTTTTCTGAGGAACCTCCATATTGCTTTCTACAATGGTTGAACTAGCTTATATTCCCACCAGCAGTGTAGGAGGGTTCCCCTTTCTCTGCATCTCGCCAGCATTTGTTGTTCATAGTTTTTTCAATGCTGACCATCCTTTCTGGTGTGAGGTGATATCTCATTGTGGTTTTAATTTGCATTTCCCTGATGATGAGTGATATAGAGCATCTTTTCATGTGTCTGTTGGCCATCTGAATTTCTTTGGAGAAGTGTC